CATTTTGCAACCTTTCCTACACAATTGCCTTCAAGATGGTTTGGACTACAGCTCCCATTATCCAGTGCCAGCATCTCACTGTCTGAGCCCCACCCATTAAAATTATCATATTCTCCCCCCCACCTTGATTTGAACACAGACCAAACACCTTTCCTTCTCTCCTTTTCCTTGTAGGGAAGGTGAGTTTGAATGTTCAGATTGATGTTTTGGGCATTTTTTTTAAAAAGTCCCACAAGATCCTTTTTTGAGATGAGTTGGATCTGATCAAGCCATTGCAAGCGGCAGTGATGTGAACTTGTAGATTCAAAATTGGAACTTTGGCCAGGACACACTTCTTTCTTTGGGGAAAAAAAAAATCACAGCCACAATTTTTAATTGCAGAAAAACAAATTAAGAGAGTGTTTAACAAAGAAATACATTGAGATAGGAAAGATGGTGGGAATCCTGTTTCCAGCTAACTATGGTGAAGATGCTGGTTGGTCCCTCACCATTTGGAGAACAAAGCTGTAATGTCTCAATTGTCCTCTCCCAGAGAGGGTCAATGAAGTTCAAGAAGGACAAGATCGACACCAGCCATCTGAAGAATATCACTTCAGGTTGAAGGAGGTTGGCCAAAGACAGTCTGGAAGACCCACGTAGGGCCTCTTGGTCTCTTCTTCCAAGGCAAAGACATGCATTTTCTTCAGTGCAAGCCAAGTTACAGTCAGTCCTCTCCAAGAGTATTACACATGTTGTTTAGGGCAGTGGTCCCCAACCTTGGGCCTCCAGATGTTCTTGGACTACAACTCCCAGAAACCTTCACCACCACCTCTGCTGGCCAGGATTTCTGGGAGTTGAAGTCTAAGAACATCTGGAGGCCCAAGGTTGGGGACCACTGGTTTAGTGGATAGAGGAACAGTGCCTGTATTGAGTTTATATTTGAGGCTGCATACCTCAAACCCTCCTTTACAAATTCTTTCAAAGCAGCCAACAGTATATCATGAAATCTAGAACCATCCTTGAGTCACTAGTGCGGGGTGTTCTCAGACGTTTCCGGGGTTGCCGATCTTCTCAACCTGCCTTCCATAGCCTGCCCCTCTCCAGAGATGCTTGACTAGAACCCCCATCATCCTTATTAGACATAGGCTCTGCGATTCATGGGAGTTGTAGTCCAACACATTGGGAAGGCACCAAGTTGGAGAAGGGTGCTCAAGAGGCTTTGAATCTCATGAGATCCTGCGGCGCCTTTTGCAAAGGTTTGAACCAAGATGTCTTGTTGCCATGCAATGTTTTATTTTACAAGCATCCTTTGAGAGCAATTCCCCAAAAGAGAAACCGTTACAAGCCATAGATCAGAACTGGAACACCGTGCTTGTGGGTTCGTTTTCTTTTGTTTGTTCGTCCATTCATTTCCTTCTCTGTGCTGCAAAGAAAATAGAATGTGCCACGAGTTGTTATTTTATGAGATTGTATTTTAATATTTTATTCGCTTATGCTTCCAACTGCCTAGAGAGCTGTGCTATTGGGCGGATTTATGCACGTCACTGAATGACCTGGCGAGGAAGTAAATCCATCAATGAAACCTGAGCCTTTGCCCAGGGGGATCCTTTGAGACCCACAGCCAATAGCATACGTATCTTTTCTAGGAAGCCCATGGGGGATTTTCAGGGGCCCGATGACAACTTCCGAGCATCTGCCTTTGCAAGATTTATATCCCAGAAACATCCCCGTGTTGGAGAAGGCAGTGTCGGAAGACGCCCTGGGTTTGGAAAGCGCCTGGTCGGCTTGAAAGATGGATTTTATTCGGATGCTTGTTTTGCCGAATGATTCATATCGGGAAGTGGTGCTATGGCTATTTTTAGAGCAGACAATTCTCTCTCTTTTTCCCCCCAAGGGCCATGTTGCAATGTTTGCACTAAAGCAGAAAGAGAGTCTCTGTGGAAGAGAGCAAGCTGGCCTTTGCGCATGCAGCGCCAGGAAAGGGTCCTTAGCAGCACCTCCAAAACAAGGGAAGGTGCATGTGTAGAACCCCAGACCTGGCTGGACTGCAAATGCTATCATCCTCCATCCTTGGTGATGCTAGTTAGGGCTGATGAAAGGTGCGGTCCAGCCACATCTGGATGGTTAGCCCTGTCCTCCCTGATTTAAACAACTGTTACCCGACATCAAGGGTGCAAAACATCCTCCAAATGTAGGATTGGTTATTTCGATCAACCCTAGTCAGCACAGACAGTGGGGAAGGATGATGGCAGCCATAGTACAACATTTGAAGGACCACCTGGCCGTTCCTGCTGTTTTTGATTGAGAATTTAAGCTCCAGAGTCCGAATTCAAACCCTACATAGCCAGCCACTCATCTTACTGGGTGACTTTGGGACATCCACCACCTCTCTGTCTAATTAAGTATAGACTCATTAGGAAGGTCAAAGGTTGTGGGTAAGGTGCAAGGACCAAGCATGATCACAGCCACAACTAAGGGAAGGCAACCAGGGCTTTTACTTGGAGCTCCGAATTTTTGAGGGTGCAAACATTTGCTGGTAGAAGAAAATGAACCCACCTACCTTGAGGGGACCTGTTACCTCCATCCCCTCTTCCCCAGGTAGGAAGAAGCACAAAACAGGCAGGCTCTGTGCAGAACTCATAAGGCTATCTCACACTTAGACCCAGGTGTCATCCTCCTTCCTCCATCCCCTCCCCCTTTATGCCAATCTCATGTGCCTCGTGCTTAACCAAAGGGGTTGGGCACCTCCAGATGCTGCACTGGCCGGCTCCGTTCCTGAGCTCATGAAACAAGGAGGGAGTAAAATGTGATCATATACTAAAAGGTTTAGGTGGGTGAATGCTGAAAAAGTGAGGCCAGGCCAGGACATTCTGCTGACGAGGGCAAAGAAGAAGAAGAGAGTGGAATCCTAGGATCATGGGGTTGGAAGGGGCCCAGAAGGCCATCGAGACCAACCCCCAGCTCAGTCGGCTGGAAGGGGCCTATAAGTTATTTATTTTATTTATTTATTTGATTTGTATCCCACCCATCTGGTCTGGTCGACCACTCTGGGCCATCAAGTCCAACCCCCAGCTCAGTGTAGGAATCCAAATCATAGCAGATCTGGCTGAGGAATGTCCAGTTTTCTCTTGAATGCCTCCAGTGTTGGAGCACTCACCATCTCTTGAGAGAAATGGTTCCACTGTCACACTGCTCTAACAGTTAAGAGGTTTTTCCTTATATTCAGCCAAAATCCAGCTTTCTGTAACTTGAACCCATTGTTGTGTGTCCTGCGTTCTGGGATGATTGAGAACAGATCCTGCCCCTCCTCTGAATGACATCCTTTCAAGTATTTGAAAATGTTATCATATCTCCCCTTAGTCTTCTTTTCTCCAGGCTAAACATGTCCAGCTCTTTCAAACGTCCTCCTAGGGGTTGGTTTCCAGCCCCTTGATCATCCTGGTTGCCCTCCTCTGAACTTGCTCTAGTTTGTTGGTACCCTTCTTAAAGTGCAGAAACCAGAACTGGACATAGTACTCTAGATGAGGCATAACCAGTGCCGAACAGAGGGGGACTAGTTCTGATAGAGGCTGGCTGACTCTTTTTGTCAGCAATTTCCAAAACAGAAACAAGCTTTTCCCTGTTAGGAACTGCCAGTCAGGACTCTGGATCTGTGGGTGTCCACTGCAGATGAGCCTAGAGGTCAGGGTATTTGTCCAGGCCAGACTTCCTCAACACAGTTCCACCTGGATGTATGTACTACGCCTCCCATTATTCCTAGCCAGCAAGGCCCTGAGAGAAACGCACCGTCTCAAAGTCGGCACATCTATGTGAGGAGTTTTCATCTCCACCAGAAGCAGGTCTTTTGTGAAGTGAATGCATCTTAACTGCTCATCCAACCCTGACTTGTTTTGCATTAGAACAGAGATAGGTCACAGCAATACTTTGCAGCTAGGAGAACGCACACCTCCCCAGTCCACCACGACTGTAAGGGTTGCACTAAATCTTACAGTAGGAGGAAAGGAAGTTAATAGGCGGGGTGTCAACAAAATATTTTTTTCCTGCTAATTGAAAATCCCCAATTTATTATTTGAGCTTTATCTCCACTGAAGTCAGGAAGTGGTTTTCTGCAACTAGTTTTGTGATCAAACTCATGGCTTGGAAACCCAGAGTCCTCCAAAATTTACCTTGACTCCCATTATACCAGGGAGGCTGGCAATTCCAATGCTAAATATACTGCTAATTTTACTCCAGACTTCAAAGGAGCTAATATGTTGAATTGAGATGGGCACGAACTTTGATTTGGAGGTTCGTGCTGGTTTCTATGCACGGCACCACAGGTGCTGTGCATTCCCTTCCACCACTTCCCCAGCCAATGACCCATTCACCAGTCGGAGGGCGCTTTTCTCCTCCTCCTTCTCTTTGGTTGTTCGACCAATCCCTGCCAAGAGTATGGGTTTGCCTGTCCCGCCTCCTTGTCTGAGTGGGCAATCAGCCAAGGAGGTGGGGCAGGGAAGCCTGTGCTCCTGCCGGAGACTGGTTGAACACCCGAAGAGGAGGAGGAGAGGAGTGCCCTCCAACCGGTGAGTGGGGGATCCACACAGGGAGCTGGAGGAAGGGAACATGCGGCGCCTGTGGGGATGTACATACAACCAGCCCAAACCTCCAAAACCAAGATATGTACCCATCTCTAATGCTGAATCTTAACCATCCCCCAATCAGGTTCAAGAAAGCTCCTGGACCAGATTTGCTGCCCTTTGACATGGGAGTTATCACCATCCTTTGCCACGGAGGACCCCAGCCAACATGGCCCATAATATGACATCATGGAAGTGGTCATCTCTCAGATGTCTAAAAGATCCGTGAGAAATTGCTTCTGTCCTTTACAACAGTAGATCTGAATCCAAAGCTGCTGTTGTCCCTTCCCTCCCCTTTTCCTTTTTAAGTCAACCCCCACCGACCAATTGGTGCATAAGAAGCTGGCTCATCTTTTCTTTCTCTCTCTTTTTGGAACAGAACTCAGCAAGACCAAGAAATGCATAGAGAAATCTTGTATTTATTCCACCATTTTTAACAGTACATTGGAAACAAGGGGGTGTCAATAGCAGGCAGAAGAGGCTCGTACACAAACACTGCATAGTCACGGCACAACATATAGACAGGCTGACTGCCACATTCATTACACACAGGGAACTATACCCTTTCTCCTGATGTTGGAAGCACGGACAACGAGAGGTCCCATGGCATTGTGTTACATGTGGAATCAGAACGACAACAGCAACACCACGAGCACAACGACACCCACAGGGCAGCCGATGCCTTTGATTGATGGAGCACCAACCAGTTGGATTATAGTTCTTGCCTGGCTTTATGGTCTGAGGCAAAAAGCCTGACTATTTTGTGCCTCAGTTTTCCCACTCTGTAAAATTGGGGGAGCGTGAAAACGTCTGAGGTGCCATTAAGTGCAAAGCATTGTCACTGTTTGTCTGTATTGCTCTGGATGTGGGGGAAAAGGAGGGCCTTTCCCTCCATTTTTTTTCCAATCTGGAAGACACAGAGAAGGTAAGGTCATCATATGACTCCTCGGTTAGGATTTCTGAAGGCCAATTGGCCTGTGTGTGTATATATGTATGTGTGTGTGTTTTTTTACAAGAATATATGCTTTTGACATCCCCTGTGCTTCTAATGCCCTTCATCCTGATAAGAGTGAAGGTCAACATTCACATTCAGATATAAAGTCCTAGAATAGTAATGGCTTTCTTCCTTCACCATTGAGAGGCTGACATGAGAAATGGAAGGGGGGGGGTTGGCCACTTACAACGAAACTTGCCAAATGGGGCCATCAAGGAAGGACGACACAAGAATCTTGTTCTACCCTGAGGCTGTCAAACACACACACGCTGCATGTTCACTTTACAGGGATGGGACAAATAAGGTGTCTGTTGACAAGGAGGGAATCACGGTTTGTGGGGAGGAGGGGGGGGAATGGTATCCTGTTCACACAGAGGCAAGGAAGACAAAACTCAGTGGGAGTCTGCGAGATCATTTTCATAAACCACCCACCACACTTGCTCTCCTAGGGATCACTCTCTCCCACAAACCCGCGCACCCACCCAGCAATGGAACATGTTTACAACTGGGGTCTTTGCTTTTCTTTTTTCCAATCCTGCTGATGAGCAGGATCCATGTCACATGACGGTGCACTTCTCGGCCGACTGCTTCAGGTCATCCAGGGTGGCCTGGGCTTTATCCTTCAGAGAATCTATATCCAGGTTCTGGATGTTGGTCAGCTGCCCAATAACAGAGTCCTTTTCCTCTTCTTCCACGTTGTCTTGCTCAATCATCTTGGCCAGCTCTTTCGGGAGCTCCACGTCCCCCCCGACCACTTGGATTTGGTTGTCGTCTGTTTCGTTCTAAAGAGAAAAGAGTTAGTGATAGCAGAGGAGAAGGGCGGGGAGGGGAGGGTGGAAGGAACCAGGAACTGTTGCTGAATCTGGTGCTCCTGGGTTCCAGAAGATGGCTCTTTGGGCATCCACAGAGTATGGTACCTTCCTTCCCATAGCACTTTTGCTTGGTGACAGCTCAACTTGTTTACAGGTCTTTGACCATTCCAATGGCCGAAACGTCCCTTCTAAAGCATAGGTACTGGCAGTAAGAGCGTTAGATCTAAATTAGAAAGGGGCTTTTGACCCCACCTACCCCTGGAATGCACCCCCTCCAAGAACCTTGGTGAGACTGAATTCACACCTGAGGCTGGAAGAGTTTGCTCACCCTTCCCTTGGAGGCTAGTCTTTGGATATCATCTCTGGCTTCAGCCCAGCCACACATGGTGGAAGGGAGGTCCTCACCATGAATGACCCATGCATTCATTCAGTGGTGGAGTGGTCGCCTCTCCCATTGCCTTGGGGATGGTGGGTAAACTGAGCAAGGCCAGCAGAAGCAAGCTATTTGATTAGATCTTTACGGCCATAATGTGGACCTACCTCTTGACCCTTGCCTAGGAACAATCAGGGTGAAGTTGGGAAAGGAAGTCAGAGGACACAAGGCCTGCCAGCAGATATTTAAAGCAAGCAGTGAAGGCCAAAGAGGACTTCTGCATTGCTCCTGGCAAACAGAAGATATTGGAGCACAGAAAGCAGGGAGGGAAAACAAGATGAGTGGACTCTGTTTTGGTCTTGAGACTTGGAGAAGACTGAAAGGCTGTCAGACAGAGGAGGGGTAGGATCTGTTCTCCATCATCCCAGAAGGCAGGACACGCAACAATGGGCTCAAGTTAAAGGAAGCCAGATTTCGGTTAAATATCAGGAAAAACTTCCTAACCGTTAGAGCAGTACAGCAGTGGACCCAGTGACCTCAAGAGGTGGTGAGTGCTCCAACACTGGAGGCATTCAAGAGAAACATAGACAACAACCTGGCAGATGTGCTTTGACTTGTATTCCTGCACTGAACAGGGGGGTTGGACTCAATGGGCTTATAGGCCCCTTCCAACTTCATGATTCTATAGGCAACCACTGAGCCTCTGGTCAGGTTTAATACTTTTTTGTTACAATTATACCTCACCAATCCATGTAGTGTATGTGTCTTCTGGACTTCTACTTTACCCTTGAAAAAACCACACAAAGTAGATCATCCAGAGACAGAATGACTGGTCCAGCGTACCCATTGAATTTCACAGTTCAGTGGGAGCAAGGACACAGATCTCCTCCACGCCAGCCTAACACCCTGAACGCTCTACCACACTGTCTCTAAATCTTCTTGAGAGATGGCATCAAGAAAGATCCTGTGCTGGAGGAGGATGGGAAAGCAAAAGGAAGAGGGGAAAGAGAGAGAAACTCCTTCATTTCATTCCCATGCTGGTTATAAAGTGCTGTGCTTGCTGAACTCAGCAGAACATAGGTGGGTGTGATTATCACACCTCTGTTGTTAAAGAACATGGAACTTCAGAAATGGGACAAGAACGGAATAGTTATGGGGACACTATGACGCAATAAGACAGCCTACTAGTGGGGAGTTGTGTCAGAAGATGTATCGGTTGGTGGTGGACCGTTACTGTGGTCAATAACACAACTGTGTTGAAGTTGTGGAGGGGCAAGAGAGAATGAGAGGGAATAAAAACCTGTGTGGTGTCTGGAGGGTTGGATTTAGATTCAGGAGACCCAAGGTCTTCTGAACTGGTCTTCAACAATATTCCCTGGAGGAACTTTGCCCGCACAATGTCTCAGAGCCTAACTCAATGCCATAGGACTGTTGTGAGGATGCAACGGGGTGTGAAGATGACCTGTGTGTCCTGCCCTAGGATCCTTCTACAGAAGATTGTTGAACATGCAAATGTTCAGCCACACACTTATTGGAGAACCACTTTCCTGTGAACCCACCATCTGTAAAAAAATGAGAATCACAGGAGTTTTATCATCATGCCACCATTTTGTAGATGCTACATAGAACTGCACGAATGAATAGTATGACAAGCCAACATTTCCACATTACTCTGACTCTTACATGGCACAGCTTCTTTTGCATTTTGAGAGACCAGTGCAACTTACTGGAATGCTATAGAAGAGCCGTTTTATTTTGCTGTGTCACTTCAGTGAATAAACCATCATGACATGTTAAAAAAAATCAAATGGAAAGAGAGAGAAAAATGGGGCAGTGTAGTTAAGCTTCATGGTAGATGTAAACCTAAAGTGCTGGAGAGGAAGAGTTAAGCTTCATGGTAGATGTAAACCTAAGGTGCTGGAGAGGAAGGCCTCTAAATGAAATGTGTTTGAGGTTCTCTAGTATAACAAACTGGGAAATCTATGATTTGTGACAGCTTGTGGTTCATGGCTAACCATGAGTTCGTGGTTCATTTTTTGAGTTTGTGCTGGGTGTAGTACTAAGCCCCCTTCCCACTGTCAGAGAGAGTGGGTCGGATTCTTTTCCCAGAGCCCACCCACTGTCTCTGCATTTGCACCCACCTATCAGCTGGGTGGCGGGAGGGGGACGTGCACAGAGACTTCAGGCCTGGCTTCTAGAAGGGAAGCGGGCCCACTGTCTCTGATGATGGCAGCAGTGGAAGGACCCGGTAGGGAGGCGACAGGGGGCAGGAGGAAGGGGGTAGACGGGTGAGCATCTGTTTTCCTGAAACAAAATGAAGCACCAAGAGGGAAAAAGTTTAGTGTTTTGTTTTGCTTTGGCCAAACAGGATCCCCAAACTGGGTCGCAAACCAAACCACAAACCAGCCTGATCCACCAGTTTTTCTGGTTCGTAGTTTGGTTCGTGCCCATCTCAATTCTCTAGTGAGGGATAGGATCTGGAAATTATATTTTGTTGTTGATTGACTTTAGTGCACAATTTGGTAACCCAAATTGACTGATTTATCAGCACTGGATTGATTTCTGCAGAAATTCAGTTCCTTGCAGTGCAGTTTCATGGACGTCTTCTTAGAAGAAGGTCAGTGAGTTCAATGGTGACTACTCATAAGTAACTGGTAGCTACTGTATACAGTTGCAGCCTTAAAAAGTGGAATGATGTGATAATCAAGAAGCAATTAAGCTGGAACACTGGACCTTTGCTTCTAGCATTCCTAGTGAGATACAGGTAAAATATTATCTCCCCCCTACAAAAAAATAACCCTTAGTACCTGAACCTTAAGCAGGTACTGTTTTCTCCATGTGCTGGAAAAGGGTATGATTCACTCTTATTATGCCTCAGTTTTTGTCTTTGCACTCAAAGAAGTGAGAATATCAGATTATTATTTAAATTCCAGAAGCCATGAATCATATCTAAGGGAGAAATTCATGCTGAACAGTTTATTATTTGATCCATATGTTCTGAACAATTCTTGCAACTATTATTAACAATACTAGGGTGTGTCAGCTGCCTTCATTATCTGAAGGGGCCAAGTGTTATGAAAAACACAAAATTCTGCCATCAAAAAAGCCAACAATAACCCCGAATATTACCAAATACAACTCACTCACTGAGCTTAGCTTCATAGTTCGAGTGCAATCTGACTAATTGGGATTAGTATAAGAGCTCCCCACTTCCAGTGATTGAGTGCTATAGCTTTTTCACAAGGGAACTTTTTATAATGTGGAACAGCTTCATTTGTAGTTAAAAGAGACCCAAGGACATTGTGTAGAGCATGGACTTTTTAGATGTGCACTTCCTGGGAGGTCCCAGTCAGTACGATAATCAATTCATGTGGACTGGGGGAATCTGGGTGTTGTAGTTCTAAAAAGTATATTTTCCAAATTCAGCCCCAGGATGTGATTGGGAAGTTACACAATATAGGTGCCTAAGAGAAGCTAAGAGGTTCTTGGTTTGGAAGGTGTGCTTGGATGGGAGAAAATGTAGGAATTCTACGTGTGATACCTAATCATAAATCAGAGTGAGATGGCTTTTCTCAAGCTGCAGTTTTCCATGTAAAGCTATCCTATGGAATTTAAACTGTATTTTATCTGTAAGCATAGCTCATGCATGCATGATTGCATGCATGATTGCCTATTTTAAAAAGTGGTATCACTTTTTAAAATAGGATACAAATGACAAAGTGAAAGACCAGCCACTATGGCTTTGCGAGCAGTCGTAAGATCGAATCCACGCAACGGAGTGAGCTCCCATCACTTGTCCCAGCTCCCACCAACCTAGCGGTTTGAAAGCATGCAAATGCAAGTAGATAAATAGGGACCACTTCGGTGGGAAGGTAACAGTGTTCCGTGTCTAAGACACACTGGCCATGTGACCACGGAAGATTGTCTTCGGACAAACGCTGGCTCTATGGCTTGGAAACGGGGATGAGCACTGCGCCCTAGAGTCGAACACGACTGGACAAAAAATTTCAAGGGGAACCTTTACCTTTACCTATCACTTTTTAAAATAGGATTCAAATGACAAAGTGAAAGACTATGGCTTTGCAGTCAGAATGCCAAGCAAGAATAAGGGAGATTAAGGTTCAAATTCCCACTTGTCCGGGAAGTTATTTGGAGTTTATCTGTTACTCAACACTAGTACATTGTGCTCAGATGTATGAAATGTATTTTAAAAGACAGCATGAGAAAGATGTTCGAAGGATGCTCTGGGACTTGGGAGAGCCTAATTCGGATCCCACTGAGCCATGAAACTAAGTGAGATGGCCTTATCCTGACCACTTTCTCTCACACAGACCTACTTCAAAAGGCCATTGTGAGGCTGAAAATACACTAAATAATAAGAATATTAATATTCTTCTATTAGGGTAGTTGTTTGAGTGCTTACAGTAAATGTTAACACTATAAAGAAAAATACCACTACCTTGAAAAAATATGTACAAATGGAACAGACAAAATCTAAAACAGAATGTAATTTACACCACGACAAAAACAGAGCAAAATCAATCAGATGATTAATAACAATGGAACAAAAAATCTGGAAAGCATCACACCTCCCCCCCCCCAAAAAGCTACAAGCCTGGGAGAATAGAAAGATCCCTCAAGGAGACAGCAGCTGCATCTGTTTGTAGAGAGATCATTGGACAGCTAAAGGGCCACTACCTCAGAGACTCTCTCTGTGGCAGCCACCAGCCACAGAAGGTTCATGAGATCCAGGCATCTCCCTCAAGTTTCAGGTTAAAGCACCCCCACTTCTCAGGTGAGGAGCCACTTCTGCCAGCAAGCATGTCACTTCACTAGAGAAGGAGACCTGGAGAAAGATTTCTACAGATAGCTACAGACAATGCCTTCATGGCAATTAGTGGTTTAAAATACGGGCAGGGAAACCTTTTATGGGAAACCTTCTGGTGGTTTGATGCCAGGAGTGGTTAAGGCCAAAGCCAAATGTGGGACAGCCCGGATATACATTCACTCATGCACATTCTTTCCCATAGGCTAGTGATGGCGAACCTATGGCACGCGTGCCACAGCTGGCACACAGAGCCCTCTCTGTGGGCACACGAGCCATAAGTCACCATAGAGAAATACTTACCCATCCTCTGATCTCAGATTTCAGCACCCCCCTCTGCTCATGTAGTGATCCAGCAGAGGGGTGCAGTGGCGACCATTACCGGTCTAGCCCAATGGGGGACTGGAGAACCAGTAAGTATTTATTTTTTAATACCATCCACAGGGAAACAACAACAACAAGCATTTAACCCTTGCAGTGCAAAAGCAATTCTTTTTTCTAAACGAAAACCTCAGCATTCGGGTTTTAATTGCAGATTTGTCACTTTGAAATAAATAAGTTGATTTTGTGTTGCAGTTTGGGCACTCAGGCTCAAAAAGGTTCACCATCACTGCCACAGGCCAACATTCTCCACAAGCCCACTATTGACTGGCAATCTGATCTTCACAATGAATGGATGCCAAGGACAGAAATCAGAGCCTTCTGTATATAAACTAAAGGTTCTGCCTCGGAGCTCCACTAAGTGGGGGGGCTACTAAGCAACTTCACCTTCATATTCTACAGATGTGGGATGTAGAAGAAGAGAACGACATCCTTCCATTCCCGCATGTAGGCTGTTATCGACACTTTGTCAACACCAGCCTCTCTGCGTTGGGTGACTCGTAGGACTGAGGAATCCATCTGGCTCACTCTTCACACCCTGTCTCCTTCTACTGCGTAAAATATCATTATTTCCTACTCCATATTCTCTGGTGTGTAGCTGTTACTCACAGGCAGGGGTACGGAATCTGTTTAAGGGTACGGTGGTGTGGGGGTTGGAGGGTTCCTCCGGGAACTGGGAGATCAAGGTTCCGGTCTCCACCGAGCCGTGAAACTTGATATGGTAGCCTTGGGCCAGTCACCCTCTTCCAGCCTATCTCATAGAAGTGTTGTGAAAAAAATCAAGAGGAGGACCTTGTATCTTGCCATGAGCCCATCATCATCATCATCATCATCATCATCATCATCATCATCATCAATCATCATCATCATCATCATCATCATCATCATCATCATCATCGTCATGTTAGACCTGCAGAGCTGGAAAGGAGCCTATGGAACACCAAGTTCAGCTCCAGGCACAGTGGGGGATCGAACTTCCAATCTCTGGCTCTACAGATGCTAAACCACTGAGCTGGATAAACCACAGTGCCTCAGAAGAGGAGGACGGTGGTTTGACCCATGTCCGTTTGTCCTTCTGCTGAAAGTAAAAGGGCAGGCCACATACCTTGGGCAGCCTGTATTTGTCTCGGAAGTGTGTCCGCAGCGTTGCACGCTCCGCCTTACGCTGGGCAAACTGGGCATCCCGCTCCATTCTGCAGATGACATTGAGAGAAAAGGTTGTCCATCAACCAACCAGTGTTCTAGCTGGAAAGCTATGTGAAAATGGGGCTTCAACATTTTGGGCAAATAAAAGATGAGGGCATCTGGTTACTAAAGCAGAGAAAGGCAGAAGGTTATTCAAGGGAGGGCGCTCATTTCCAATTCAAGGCTCATTTACACATCCTGATATGTAACACTAATCAGAGAACATCCACAAGATTCCACTCTTTATAATCATGCTTTATTCATTTGGAATAATTGCTGGACTCTTTCCTTTATAGCCATACTCAATAATTGCTAATTAGTATGGGCACTCAGGCAGGCGTGTGTCTGTGTGTGCGTGTGTGTGTGTGTGTGTGAGAGAGAGAGAGAGAGGAAGGAAGAAAGGAAGGAAGGAAGGAAGGAAGGGGAAGAGCAAGTGAATGAGAGCTAACGTTTGTGTGTAAAACAGCTTTGTCTGTCTTCTTCTTTTTTGTATATTTATTTATTTAGTAACAACCAAAAGTCGTTTTCTCAGATACAGTTTCACACAAAAGTACTGTATTGTCTATCTTCTTATATACCTGTCGGTCAGTATATAAATTTAATGAATGTATGAGTGAACCAGTGAATAAATAAATAATACATTCATGATTCAAGATGTTTTAGCTTTTTAGTGCAACAGTCATACAAGATCAGCACATTTATATTGTTGTTCTGTCCCGTCAGGTCAGAACTGATATAGTAACCCTGACAGAGCTTTCAAGGGAAGTACGTATGGTATTTGAGGAGTGGTTTTACCCCAGTGACTTACCCCATGGCCGAGCAGGGAATTGAACATTGTTCTCCAGAATCCTAGTCCACCACTCTGTCCATTACACCACACTGGGTATATCTTTACATTACATAATCTGAAATACCTAGCACTCCATAGGAGTTCCACATTGCACAATAGTGTGCACTGGAAGTGTGGAAAGAAATCCACATTTATATTATAAGAATAAGAATTTCAAACAAGGTAATCAACTGATTGGATCCCAGCTTAGCCTTATTTAGAGCAAGAAACACACCAGAATCAATAGTGTTTGACCTGTGAGTAAGCCCAATCCACTCATTGCATTGAGTCTATCCTAAATGCAGCTAAAAAGTTTGAACTACCTTCAGTCCCATTGCTTTTTGAGCATTTAAGCAGTGTGCAATCCTTTCGGTTTTATACGGTTTGTTCTTAACTGTGAATTGCTTTGGGACTTTTTTAAAAAATGAAATGATATAAAAATGTTCTAAACTAACCAGCAGACTAGCTGATTGTTGACCAAATAAATAATATGTGAATAATTCCTATTAACTCTTCCTGAATGTGGTCCCCAGACTTCATCCTTTAACTTTATAATGGAGAGAGGATGGTTTTCAAGAATTCTTTCGTCGTATTCCTTCCCTTTCTGGAAGAAACCACAGTCAGTGTCAACAAACTGCTTTCCATGTTTTCTCAAGAAGGGAGATAGAAGAACTGTGTGGCTTTGGACAAGAAGGCAGGTGTGTAACCTACGGGGAATAACAAATCTCATGCTTACTAGTGAACAACACAAGAGTTAGAAAACCAATCATATTCTCCATGTCAGTCTGTTTCCTCGATGGTTCCTTTGGTAGACTTTCAATCAGGGCAATAGACTGATTCCCAGTAGCAAAGTACTTGGACAAAGACATTTCAAAAGAAGTCAACGGGGGACTAAATAACTTTCATTCCCCGTCTTACGGCTAAATTCAGCTGCAGCTCTGAAAGCACTTGAATGCCTGTTTGACAATGGAGCAGACTGTCTTGAGAGCCAAATTGTCTTTCCTTCACTGGAATTAAGCAAAGGCTGTTTAGCTAGCTGTCAAGGACATGGATGTGGCATTCTGCATTAGATCTGCCACTGAGCCCACCTGGAATAGATGACCTCCAAGATACCTTTCGACTCTGTAATTCAACCATTCTGTGACAGGGGTGTAGCGGCTTCCAACAGCAGGGTCTTGTGAGCAAGGGAATCGAATAACGCTGAGCAAGGTAGGGACTGATCTGCTTGGCTAAGGTAAATACATTGAATGGGTCAAGAAGGAAGCAAAAGACAAGAAATAGCACTTGACATTTGGGAAATCGCTTTGTTTCTCAGCCTGAATGGTAGAATTGAGGATCAGTTCAACCACTATCATAAGCTCTGTGAGGGTGACTGTATGGGCAGTTCAGCCCACTATGTGGAACACAGCAGGGACGGCTGCTGTGCTCTTCAAGACGGCGATCGGACCACGTATTTGCTAGAGTGCACCAGCCCGCTCCAAGAGCATTCCGACCTGCACGTTTCTGCCCTGCTCTTAAGAAATCAAATGGCTTTGGTTTCAATTGGTTTCAGTGCATGTGATCCCTCTAACAAATCTGAAGCAAGCCTCTCTCTCTCAATCTCTCTTAATTTGCCAGCATTGTGAAATGGATTAGAACAAACTAATCAAGCCAGACCATTCACACAGAAATGGGTCCTACTAATACGGTGAGCTGACTTAACAAGTAAGTTGCTTCAGGATATTGGCAAATTGATCACTTCCCCTGCTCATGGGGGTGGGGGTGGGGAAAGCTTTTTTGACTATATGTAGACTATTGCTGATGTGCTACATCATTTTTTAAAGTTAAAATCAAAAGGAAGCTGTGTGGCCATTATACGATATTGTACAAATGTAGAAGCATATGACACTTTCATTAGACCACTGATGATCAAACAATTAATGCAAGCTTCTGTGGATTAAAGTTCCTTCATAAAAAATTCAGAAAATATTTTCTTTGACTCACCTTAAAGGGCTAGTCAAGAAACTGCCTGCAATCAAAAACACCAAGGGGGAGTTTCAGCTGTAGGCAGTTTAGCGACCAGGCCTCTAAGAGAAGAAAAGAAAAAGTTTTAAATTTTTTCTTATAACTGATGCTATGCATAACCAATAGTCTACATACAGTTAAATATATGGTGAGCTCAATAATATATATTTCACTTGCGCTTCACTCTGTTGAGTAGGGTCAGTGATTTACCTGCCAATATCCTGAAGTGGCTTGCTTGTTAAGCCACCTCATGATATTGGCAGAAGCCATTTCCATGTGAATGGTCTGGTTTGATTAAATCCTTCTGATCAAACCTGATCCTTTCGAAGTGGCCCACACTAGTTCACCCCCTGCTGCTAGTGTGGCTGTATCTGGTGTTTGTGATCTCACTTTGCAGAATCTTTTATTTCTTGGAAATATAATTGGTGCACAAAACCATCCAAATCATTCGTGCCATCTGTTGATCAGTCAGGACACCAATCAATGCATTATGAAAGATTCTTGAAAAACATGCTGAGATCATTTATATGATCACAGAATCAAGAAACCCTAAGATTAACAAAGTATCTTGTGGCATTCAAAGGCCAAGAAAATCAGGGTGGAATAAGCTTTCATGAGCTACAGTAGGTGAAAACTGTTGTAAAGTAAAATTTAATGATCTTTAAGATGGTGCCTTCTCTCTGTAGCATGTCAACAGTTAGCCATCTTCCCTAAACAGTTGGCAACTCCCCCCCTTCTTGTTCTTAATGTAGCCAAAGAAGCTTGGTTGGTTGGTTGGTTATTTATTTCCTGCCTTTCTCCTTAAAAGGATCCATAATTAAAAGAATATTTGCATTGACTGTCTGTTTCTAAAGTAGACCTCTGTAAGAAGAACATGTAGAAAACCTGGGAGCGGACCATTGGAAAAAAGAAACAGCTGAAACACAAAACAGCTCTGTGTGTAGGAGTGAGATGGAAACGAAGCAGTTGCTTCAAAGAGACTATGAGGCATTTAAAAGTTACTGTGTGAAGGTGTCCTTTCTGTTCCTGGCTGCCTTCAGCATGAGAAAAGGAGAAGACTCTAGCTTTAAACCTTCCTGGATGGGGGAGGAGTCTCTAGTGAGCTGTAGTTTTTCCCGGAGAAAACAATTCCATCTTTTGAAGGCAAAAGCGGATTAAAAGATTAGGGGTTCATTAAAATGCATTACCAACATTCCCCGCCTTCTGCAATAAATATAAAGTCCTGGGCTCACTTCCTCTGTTCCTCTCGCCACTTATTTGGAGACACCAATGGTGCAGGATCCGGCTAACCCAGTTTGCACTTAAATGGAAAGATCATCTTTTAGAGGGTGGATTCAGTAGCTCAGATTTTTATGCCTGCATCTAAAAAGGGGGAGGATTTAGGTTCCGAACTTTGCATAAAACTGCTTAGAGGGAAGGATTTATTTTTACACAGATACTGCTTAGAGCTATTTTTAATTTATCTCAAAAACTGCCCTACATTTATTGAAGGCAAGGACTAGTTAAATATTCTGGTGCCATCAATCTGGAGATACCAGCTGGAGGTTTCCAAGCATGCCTACTCTTTTGCTATATTTATTTTCCAAGACATAATCTCAACTATCTGTTTTTTGTTTAGTGAGAAATATATTTTAATAGGCATAAAACATTACGAGGAAAAGACTGTGTGTGTGTGTGTGTGTGTGTGTGTGTGAGAGAGAGAGAGAGAGAGAGAGAGAGAGAATTGCTAAACCTTTCCTAATTTCACATAGTACAGACCCACTGGAATGAACAGCACAAACATTAGAGATGAACAATGTAAGTCCCATTGAATTCATTGGTGTATTTTTAGTATGATCAAGTCTGGTACGTCCAGTACCTGAGGCAGGAGACCTTTTAGACCTGAATGCACGTGTAATGAGATATGAAAAAGTGAAACTGGTCCTGGGAAACTCATTCTCTTTTTGAGATTTTCCTTCATTCAAATGAAAAGACTAGTTATTTTTCCCAACAGGATTGATGAGAGCTTGAGTCTGAGAAGAGGGAACAACATATCCTGTTCCATTTTGGACTTGCTTGCCTTAAATTTACTGCCCTGACTATCCAATAAGACAAATTCTGTTCACTCAGTTGAAGCCACTCGCATTTTTGGTGCTGAAAGGACTCGTCATTTCTTAAAAAAACGTGAAAGGGACTCAGACATTTTCTTTCTCCATCTCACCTTCCATTTGCAACCAAAGACCAGGAAAGGTACATAGGGCTCAGTTTATGAAGCATAAATGAAGGCAATGCCATATCCTTCAGAGGATGCAAAGCATACCTGTTAGCATAAAGGATGCCACAAGGCTCTGGGTTCAAATATGTCCCGAAGAATACGGAGGGGCGACCTCCATCACCACCGCCACCATCACCATTTCTAGGTACTTACTTTTCCTCCACCAGCTGCTTCTGATATTCTTCATATTCTTCCCTTGTCATGCCTTGAGCTTCAGCTGGAGACTTCTCTCCTTCTCCTTTCTCTTCTCCTCCCAATCCACCGGTTAGATTCTTGAGCTGTCCACCCACCATAGACTTCACCATAAAAGCCATTGCTAAACTCTGTCGGGGAGCCGGGGAGTAGAATGAACAGGGCTAGCTTCGGCCCAAAGCAGAGAAGGAAAGGCAGCCCCTTCGGACTTGGCTGGCTTCTGGAAGCCCAGCTGCCTGCTTTCAGTTCAGATCAGCATTATTGCTCTCTTGCTGCTCCTGTGGCTGGACTCCTCGTTTCCCATTGAGGATAGGGCTGGGCTCTGCAGAGAGTCGGGTGGGACCTTCAGCACCGGCAGAGGATGGACAGCTCCGCCAGTCCGAAGATTTCCCCCACGCGCGTCGGTTTCAGCACCACGAAGAGCGGACAGCGACTGTTGCTTCCGAGCACCGCCGCTGCGCGTGTTTGGTCGTCGGAACGAAAGGCGAGCCAAAGGACTCTCGGCTCCCCGCCTCCCGACGACCTGCCGGGCTCCTCCTGCAAGGGAGGCAGGCGCTCTGTTCCCGAGAACCCGGAGCTCGTCTGACCTCGCCTCCAAACGCGTGACAGCCTGACTCTACCCACCTGATCCCGCCCCTCCGCCCTTGACAGCCCCTCCTTCCTTTTCCCCTTTTAAGTTGCTTGCTGGTGTGACGTGTCTTCACGCATCTCTCTTGGCCATCTTCCAGGAAGGGCGGAGCTAAGTGTTGCACACGTGCATGTGTATGTGTGTCCTGCAGCACAAACACAGAAAGTCTTGTAAAAAGGTGTGCTGAGGTCTGTTTCAGCCCAAGCCACCGAGGGTCCAGTGGGAACCTGAAGACCTTTATTTGGCCTCGACTTCCACCAGCTGTAGTTTATTGCATCTTCTGTTGACAACAACCCATCTGGTGAAATGGGCTGACGCAGTCCCTGAAAAGTTAGGCTGACACAACTTTGCAGGCTTCACAATGCCACCAAACTCTTTGAAGAGTCTTGTTTTGCTGTCTGAGACAGACCTGCCATTGCAGAATCTGTCAAGGACCTCAGTGTTGTTGAGTGGTCCTGATCTGACAGTACGTATCCATGCGTGCATGCATGGATGTGGGGAAGATGGCAAAATGTAGACGTGTACACCCATAAAAGGGAAGAAGTGATGTGACATATCTTCAAATCTGTGCAAAATAAGCAGAGTATATTTGCTGAGTTCTTTAGTTCTTTGCCTTTTATCTCTTTCTGCTACAGAAGTTGATAATTCAATTCAAAGTAGACCAAAACACATTGAAATTTTATTTATGTCTTTTTAATGTGTCCCATATGGCACCTTAAAGCCCAACAGAGTAAATGCAACATGAACCTTCATTGATTAGAATCCATTTCCTCAACTGCTCTGGGTGTTTTTGTCTGAGCTTCAGATATTTTGATATGATTTACTTAAATAGTTGCATTTCTATGACTTCTTTCTTCTAGTAAGTTCCAGACTATTTGCATTACTTTCTTCCTCCTGGCACTTTTATTCTCTTCATAATCCTGTGAGTATATTTAGCTGCAAGACGGAGTGGGACTGGCCCAGTGGCACAGCAAGAGTTCACGAGGACTCGAACCCAGGCCAGAAAAAGTACATGGGGCTCAGTTTATGAGTGGAGCTGAGAGAATAATGTCCTCAGGAGGCCAGACATGTTTGAGATGTGGTGCTGGAAGAGAGCTTTGTGGATACCTCGGATGGCCAAAAAGACAAACAAGTGGATTTTGGACCAGACCAAACCTGAATTTTCTCTGGAGGCAAAAATGTAGAAACTGAGGCTGTCCTACTTCATGAGAAGGCAAGACTCACTGGAGAAGACAATAATGATGGGAAAGGTGGAAGGCAGCGGGAAAAGAGGAAGACGAAATACTAGATGGATCAACCCCCTAAAGGCATGTACAGGCTTGAGTTTGCAAGAGCTGAGCCGGGCTGTTGAGGACGGGATATTTTGGAGATCTCTGATTAACAGGGTCAACATAAGACAGAGATGACTTGACAACACAACAACAACAAACCCAGACCTATGTCCCATGCTAAGACTCTGTTACATCACACTGCCTCTCTGTAGTGCACATCTTTAGGGGTGATGATATATACCAGCTGAAACAGATGTGGAACATGGCAATTATATTTTTAATTTTTAAAAAACTGCCTTCAAGTAAACTGTCGGTAATAAAACATGCAATACTGGCACTAGCGAAACAGGGAACACCTCCTGTCTACATAGTTCCTGACCCTCTAAGATTGTAGGCAAGCATCTGAAGATATGAATCACAGCCGTTATCATGCAATAATAAATCTGCCAGCATTAAACAGGTCATGTGACTCCTTCTCATTCTCCACTTCCTGGACATCATTTTGCTTACACTGACTTTGGGTGCAGCAGCTCTAAGCAGTGAGTCGTGTTACATCCAAAGCACTCTTCAGAGTTTTCCCAGCTGTAAAGTTCCTATCTTTCCCACAACTGCCCCCCATTTATTTTACCTTGAATGATCAGCTGTCACAATCTGTATTTTTCACTTCTCATGATGTTAGCCAAGTGTTTCAGTTTTCTGCATTATTTCATTGTTTCTTCATCTTTTCTTCATCTCTATTCATTTACTTTTGTACTTCCTCATAAGTTATCTCCTCAGCTCCAGAAATTATCCGCATCCTATCATAAACCTTTCAAAATCTTCCTATTTTATTGTCGCTAGAAAGCAGACCACCAAAGAATTGATGCCTTTGAATTGTGGTGCTGGAGGAGGCTCTTGAGAGTCCCCTGGACTGCAAGGAGAACAAACCTATCCATTCTGAAGGAAATCAACCTTGAGTGCTCACTGGAAGAACAGATCCTGAAGCTGAGGCTCCAATACTTTGGCCATCTAATGGGAAGAGAAGACTCCCTGGAAAAGAACCTGATGTTGGGAAAGTGTGAAGGCAAGAGGAGAAGGGGACGACAGAGGACGAGATGGCTAGGCCAGTGTGACCGAAGCGACCAAGATGAATTTGACCCAACTCCGGGAGGAAGATAGGAGGGCCTGGCGTGCTCTGGTCCATGGGGTCACAAAGAGTCGGACACGACTAAACGACTAAACGAAATGAAGTATTCAAATCCATTATTTTATCGAAATGGGAATACACAGCACTTCAGAATGCACATTCTCACAGCCCATTTGTTTTTGTTTGTTGTTTCGTTATATTTAATATATTACCTTCCTTATCTCATGGGAGGTGGCTCAAAGCCGCATCTCTTTGCTTATTGCATGGCTATGAACTCACTGCTCAGGCAGCCGAATCCAAAGTACCGATGTTTTCCAACATCAGTTGCATCATGTTGTGTTATGTACCATCAAATCACTGCTGTTTTATAACAACCCTAACAGAGTTTTCAAGGTCTGTAGGATGTGTCCAGTGTGGTTTAGGGGGCAGAGTTAATAGACTAAGGTTCAGAAAACCTGGGTTTGATTCTCTGCCATGGAAACACACTGGGGCATGGAATGGGTAGATACTAAGGTTCAGAAAACCTGGGTTTGATTCCCATGCCATGGGGCATGGAACGGGTAAATCCACTCCCTAAATACCTCGCTTAGCTTGAAAATCCTATCTGGGTTGCTATCAGTCAGTTCTGATTTGACAGCACATGCCAAGGTGTTCACATGTGGCTTGCCATTGCGACCCTCTAGTGCATTTCCATGGATCTGAACCCATCTCCTGCATCCTAGTCCAGTGTGCTATCTGATGCATCGCGCTGGCTGTCCAACGGTCTCCATAAACTGGCAAAAGTCACGGGGAACTCAATAACAATTCTGTATTTTTGATGGGATCAGCCTGTGGTGCCCTGACATTCGCAAGAATTACTGCTGCTTGAGCGAGCCAGCCCTCGTCCCGACGCGCGTCTCTGCCATCCACTAGGAAACTTGCTCGGAAGTGAGAAGGAGACAGCTGCACACAGCAATCTCATGCGATGGGCACAATGCCGGCTGAGGCTCCCAGCTTGGTTTTTCTATTTTCGTCCGTGGGTAGAAGCAAAATCTACATGGATGGTGGGGTGGGGGAGAAGCTGAGCACAGTCCAGACTGCTCTTTAAAAAAGAGCTGCGTCTCAAGGAGACAGCCAGATCTTCTTCCCCCTGTGGAGGCAGGGCAGCCTTCAGATTGAATCAGAAGCTCCCTTCGAGAATGTGTTCTCTCGAATGAAACTTCAGCCGTGTCGTGGATTTAATCACACAGAAGACGTGGCGTGGGCCACTTTACATCTTTTGCACACCTTCTCGAAGGGAGTTTTTAGGTTATTGTTCGGGACCACCGCTCCCCAAAACAGCCCAACCCCAACACGGTTGCACCCTAACTCCAATAAATGCATGAGAAGATCTCGTTTTCATTGCCTGATCCCCTTTCAACAGCATGAGCCATAGCCTTCTCTTGTAGCAGGGAGTTCTGTAGGCTATGCATAGCTCGCACTAAGGAGCCATAAACAATGAAGAATCATGCAGCACATGAGCAGACTGACAGGCTGATCACAGGATCCATTGCTGAGAGATTGAACAGTTGATCCCAAGATATATTCTGCTCATCTCAGCTCTAGAGAAACCCTGTGTTTCAGTGTGTTATAGTGGAACAATGAAACATTTTGAAGTGGTGTTAAGTCAACATGATTCTGTGTGTGCACATCTGTACATTCACATATACACATATGCACACATGCAGCACCAAAACAGCATGAACTCCATTTTATTGGAAACCCAGGATTGCCATCACATACACTCCAATAAATGCATGAGAAAAACTCATTTTTATTGTCTGATCCTCTTTCAAAAGCATGGGTCATAGCCTTTTCTTGGAGCAGGGAGTTCTATAGGCCATGGACAGCTTGCATTAAGGAGCCGTGAACAATGAAGAATCTTGCAGCACATGAATTACCTGGACTCTCCATAGAACTCAATGCTCCTAATTCCTGACTACATAGACTGAACCTGTGGGGAAGATTTTCAGTCATCTGCAATGCAACTTTTTCTTTCTTGTTGTTAGAAATACAAAGCATCTGTTAAAGAAGTGTTCCCTATAAGGGAGGTAGGAAGACAAACAACCAACTGCTACTTCATAATTTTCCACATTTTTCTTTACTTACTATAGGCTAGTCTGTTGCAGACAACAGTAAAACCCGCTATCACCTCCTCCACTTGCCTGAGAAAGAATGATTGATCATTTACCACAGTGCTGTCACATGACGTCACTACTTCTGCTTTGACAGGGGTAGGGGTTGGGAGCCCAGAATCTCTGCTCCCTCATGGTTCCCCTTCACAACATTGCTGTAAATTACCAAAGATAGCAAATGATGTAGGGAAAAAAATGGTCTCCCATATGTTTTGTCCATGCTTAGACAAAGCTATAAATGATTGCTTTGCAACTGTTCCTGTCATATAACTTGGTGTGGAGGAGGGGGGCCGACTCATTATAATATACCCCACAATAATGGAAACAATGGTTCTGTCTTTCTCCTTGTTACTTCTCTTCTGCTGGAGGTACAATCCCAGCAAATTGGCTTCAGTCTCAAATCTTTGCATCTGGAAAGACAACAGGTATTTTCCCTG